GGCACCTGAGTTGCACAGGAGGAAGAGAGTGGCTTGAAATGCCTTCAAGAGCGTCAAAGAAATACCTAAGAGGACGAAGAACCTCCGGCTCTGGGCACATCTCTTCAATTCCGCTGTTCTTCCTGCATTAACATACGCCTTAGAGACCTGGGTCCTACAAAAACAGGATGAGAACTGTATTTGGGTCTCCCAAAGAGGAATCAAAAGAGCTGTGCTTGGAGTATCACGTTTCACTCAAATGAGAGAAAGAATCCAGAGTTCCGACCTCCGTGGACAATCAAGAATCAGGGATGCTGTCTCGTTTGTCAAGGCGCTGAAAATCAGAATGGCTGGACACATAATGAGATTTAGAGACGACCACTGGACTAGAGCCGTTACCGACTAGATTCCACAGGACGTCAAAATATCGCGTGGCCGCCCACCTACCAGATGGTCAGACTTCTTCATCAAGACCCTGAACGATCAGTTTGAGGCTCTTCATGTTCCTAGAACAAACAGACATCATTGGGCTACACTAGCACGCAACAGGAACAAATGGAGATGTTACTGGCACCCGCTCAAGCAAATGGATGATTAACGGGAAGTCAAGTGATCAAAGACAGCCCATGGAATGGGAAAAATTATTTACCCGATACCATCTGATGGGCCGGAGCGATAGCACAGCGGGTAGGGCGTTCGCCTTACAAGCGGCCAACATGGCCGACCCGAGTTCGATTCCTCCGCCCCTCTCGGAGAGCCCGGCAAGCTACCGAGAGTATTCGATATGCCAGACACAGTAACAACAAAGTCTCCAATGGAGACGTTACTGGGCCCGCTCGAGCAAATCGACGATCAACGGGAGGGCCTTTACCTTTACCTTACCATCTGATAAGGGGTTCATACCCAAAATATGGGCTGGAGCGATATCACAGTGGTAGGGCGTTTGCCTTGTGCATAACCAGCCAGGCCGACCCGGGTTTGATTCCTCCACCCCTTTCAGAGAGCCCGGCAAGCTACCGAGAGTATCTTGCCCCCACGGCAAAGCCTGGCATACTACCCATGATGTATTCAATACGCCAAACACAGTAACAAGTCTCAAAATGGCGACATTATTGGGCCCGCTCGAGCAAATCGATGAACAATGGGAGGATAATGATACAGTGATACAATGATCCAAAATATATAAGGCACTGGTAGGACTTTACAAGACAAAAAATCCAACCCCATCAAAAAAATGGGGATAAGACATGAATAGGAACTTGCTCAGGGAAGAAATTCAGATAGCCAAAAGGCATGTGAAAAAAATGCTCTGTATCATTAATCATCAGGGAGATACAAATCAGAACAATATGAAATATCCTCTCATACCACGAGAGACTGGCACACATTTAAAAGAACAAGAAATCAGTGCTGGTGTAGATGTGGGGAGAAAGGGACTCTCATTGTTGGTGTGAATACTGACTGGTCCAGCGTTTTGGAAAACAATATGGTCATTCCTTAGTAAACTAGAAATTGAACTTCCATACGACCCAGCAGTACCACTTCTGGGAATATACCCCTGGAGCCCCAAAACACAGTGTAGAAGTCATCTGCTCTTCTATGTTCATTTTAGCACTGTTCACAATAGCAGAATCTGGAAACAACCCAAGGACCCAGAAAACAGATGACTGGATAAGGAAACTGTGGCACATCTACACAGTGGAATACAGTACAGCCACTAGGAAAAATGAAATCATAAAATTTGCTTATAAGTGGGTGAACATGGAAAGTATCATGCTGAGTAAAACAAATCAGAAGGAGAGCAACAGACATAAAATGATTGCACTCATTTGTGGGATATAAAAAATTTGTATGAAACTAATATTCAAAGACATTAGAAATGGGCTAGGAGGACTGACCCACGGATGGAAGCTTACCACAGGTGTGTGTGGGGCTGAGCGCAGTTAGGATAGAACAGGGACCACTAAGACAATAATAATTGGAAGTGACCACTTTGGACAAGAACTGAGTGCTGAAAGTAGGTAAAGGGATATACATGATAAACTTGCAGTACCTTTATTGCAAGCCATAATTTCTCAAAAGAAAAGAGGGGGAGGGGGAAGAGAGGGAGGGAGAGAGACAGACAGACAGGGGAGGAGAGGGGAGGGAAAGACCTTGTAAAAGAAAAAAAGTGCGCGCCATAGAGGCAGACTGGGGGAGAGGGAGTGTGACAATAGGGAAACTGGGGACATTGGTGGTTAGAAATGTACACTAGTGACAGGAAGGGTGTTGGAACATTATATGACAAAACCCCAGTCATAAGCAACTTTGTGTATCTCAAGGTGATGGAAAAAAAAAAGAAAAAGAAAATTGATAAGCACATCAGAATTCAAGGGGTACGGTAAGAACAAAGACCGGAATATTTCAGATAGCCAATCAGCAGGCACCCTAAAGTTTAGAGTAAGGTCATGACAGTTTTCTATTTTATTTTTGTCTACTAGAAACCCTAAATGATTTTATTCTATTATTTTCTGGGTACATTTTTTTGCTGCCCAGTTCTGTGCTTTTCAGGATGCATTTTTGCTACCTATTTATTTTCTAAGACTTAAGCAGTTCTTGCCCTAGGGACTATCCTGACCTCGGGTTAAAGGTAGGGGGATGATTTATTATCACAGGAATAAGAAATTGTGATATAGTAAAGCAGTTAACATAGTATGGAAAAATAGATCTAGACCTGAACAGCCTGAATTGGTTTGGGTATTAAACCTAAGGATGAAAGGATGAATGCTGGTTGGTTCTGGGACAAATAGATACCTATGAAAAATGAAATTACTGATGGAAGAGAGGATGAGAGGTTGTAGATTCTGGAAGGATAATAACATTTAAGTGCAACAAAGCACAGATGTGATCTAAGGATAGATTTGATATACTAACATAGCTGGCCAACATATGTATCACTTGAGTCAGGCTCTTGGGAAGCCTTAATCACTTTAAAGCAGACTCCATATTGCCGTTGTTCACCTGGTACGTTCCTAAAATGAAACTAGGATATATTTACTGCCTTACATACCCGGAGGCCCACCTATTACCCTGGCAGTTTCCTGAGACCTTCTTTGTGACCGCCAATTTAGAGTTCCACTGGTAAAAGGCCAGCATGCTTTCATTGGTCATTGGCCCATGCCATTTTAGTGTTAAGTATTTTCAAAACAAGTGGGCCACCCTTTTTAAAAACGTTTTAATCCGAAACAGGAGTTGGACCTGGTTAGATTGGCTCACTTGTACTTATATTGCCCTTTTCCCTTCGGCTGAAAGACTAGACATGTGGGTGCGAATACTCCATGACCTCTGGAGAGGAATAGGAAGTGGGGTGACCACTGAAGCATTAGTAGATTGACTTTTATCTCATAGAAATGTAAAGCAATTTTGTTTTACTTTTTGGGGGTCTCAACCAGCGATGCTCAGTGGTGACTCCTGGCTCTGCACTCAGGAATTATTCCTGGAGGTACTTGGGGGGATACTGGGGATCGAACCTGGATTGTCCACATGCAAGGCAAATGCCCTACCTGCTATCCTATCTCTCCGGCCCCATTTAAAGCAAATTTTTAATGTGAGTAGTGGTTCCTTAAGCACCTGTTTCTGTTATTTCTAAATATTTCTGAAAATTTTATGTTTAAATTTTAAAATACGAAAAGGGTTTGTAATTCTTGGATGGGGAGGGGCACATCCAACTGTGCATGGTTTCTGTCTCTGCATTTAGCAATCACTCCTAATGGAACTGGGGCTGGGGTGGGGTGAGAGACTGTGATTCCAGGTGGCCCTACGTTTGTAATATTCTTTTTGTTTGTTTGTTTTGTTTTGTTTTTTTCTTTTTGGGTCACACCCAGCAATGCACAGGGCTTACTCCTGGTTTATGCACTCAGGAATTACTCCTGGCAGTGCTCGGGGGACCATATGGGATGCTGGGAATCAAACCCAGGTCGGCCGCATACAAGGCAAATGCCCTACCCGCTGTGCTATTGCTCCAGCCCTAAGTTTGTAATATTCTTAATTGAGCTCTTTGTAGTGGAACAAACACTTTCTGCCCTTTCTTCCTGTACTGACTTATCTAGATCTTAATGAGCTCTGTCTTAGCTGTGCTTGCTGTTCTGAGTCTCAGCTTAGTCTCCCAGTAAAGGGAATTCACCTCCTCTATGTCGCCTATGTGATGTGTAAAGCCCTCCATATTCACACTGCCCTGCATGTCCTTCTCTCCTCCCGGGAGCAGCGTGGACCTGACCTGACTACAGTTTCATGCCCTTCTTGACTCATTTATTTTCACCTTGAGAGTTATTCCTTACCTATTTTTCTTACCCTGGAATCCACAGTTCTTGATCCAAAATATTTTCTGAAAAAAATTTAGGGCATAAATCTTTCACATTTTGCTGTGTTCTAACAAAAACATGGGCAGTACCCCATCAACCAAGCCCATCCATGATTCTTCCTAGAAATGAACTAGTTTTTACATGCAGTGGAATAAAGATGAACTGTTTAACTTTTAACCATAAACTTTGAGTTTTGAAACTATGTTCCTTATTTTTATTCTGAGAAACATATTTTATGAAAACTTCATTAGCAGCAGTTTCTTCAAAGACAACGAAGTTGAGTGGTTGCTGTAAAATAAAAGATGAGCAAGTAAAACATCCTTGATCAAACTGTTTTATCTTCTTTAAACAATTGTGTTTGGAAGCCCTACTTAGTGTTTATTATACATGTGACAGCAGAATTGAGTGGCCTGGAGTTTGACTCTTTTTACTGTTGCCTATGATCCACTTAAGAGATCTCTGGGGACTGACAGAAACTGTTTTTGCTATTTGAATTTGATTTGGATTATTTTTATGTACGCCTAAGATTCACTTAAGCATATTTACATGTACTTTTGACTGGGATGCTCCTTTTCAGTGAAATGAGACTTTTTTTTAAGGAACAGGTCCAGTTCTTAGAGCTTGGGCCATTCAGTGGATATACTTGTTACTCTGTTTAATTATGTAATTTATCTTGTTTAGCTGCAGGAAATGCATTTTGTCAGGCAGCCAAGCTCCATATGCAGCTTCAAAGCAAGCATGACTCTGCTACCAGCTTTGTGGACGCTGGAAATGCCTACAAAAAGGCAGACCCCCAAGGTAAGATAGCTCCTTCGCTTCACTTTGGCTATCAAGTCAGTATTGGTGATTTCATAGATTCTTTAGAGATATACTGCTGGAATTTTTCAGTCTTTTTTTACAAAAGAAGATTCTGCTTTGGAATAATAGACTGGCAACTTTAGAAATTTTTCTTTAATCATGGGGAACTTTTCTAGAAGAATATGTTAAGTTTATTGTGATTTTAGTTTTGAACTCTTTTCTAGATTATGTCACATTTTGGAATTTTTTGGAAATTAGCTTAAACTTTACATAAGACTTATATCTTAATTATGTGACTGCTATCTTTGTGAATATTGCTTACTAAAGGAAACCTAATGTTCTCTTACTCCTATCTACTGAATCTTAAGAGTTGTTCATAGAGATTATAATACATGAGAGTTAAAAACAATGTCTTCACAGTTTCATTAGAAAAATGGTTTTCAAAGTATATGTTTTGAGAAATAAATGAACTTGGTTCTTTCAAATGATAATATTTTGCAAATATTTTAGCTAGAGGAATGTAAAACATTAATTTCTTCCATCCCACACATGTACTGGTAGCTACAGTGTTCCCCATTTTCCATCAGTATTTCATTTTAGTGCAGAAATCCCAACTTGTATGAAAATCTAGGAGTTAGGAATGAGATACTTTCATTTTTGTATAAAAATTAAGCAACAGTTCATTTCCAAAAATAAAGTAAGTACTAGATACAACCTAAATAGGCAATAAGAGTAGAATGATAAAGAGTCTGTGATGGGACTTAATGGTATTGCATGTGACTTCCATGCTTGAGATTTAAATTCAGTCCCTGGCACCTTAGGGGGAAAAATTTAAGGTAGACTGTTAGTTCACAAAGGAAAATGTGGGGACTGCTGCATCAACTCATATGCTTTCGGTGGCCCAGAGCCTCCTCCCCAGGCCTCCCTAGCAGAGAGACAGAGAGACAGGGAAACTGGGGACCACAGCCTGATGGTGAAAACAGCTTGTTTAATGCAGAGCTGCCGGCATACTTATAGAACATCTGAGGGGGCTTGAGGTAAGGACATTGGTGTGATTTATCCTTGACATAGATAAACATTTGACAGAGGAAATTCTCTTGGGGAGATTAACTTAAGGAGATACTCTCTCCCAGGGACATCAACATTGTTTTTATCTTTCCCTCTAGTTGTATACATTATCAATACTTGCAAGTTGTTTGGATAAACACAGTAAGAGACAAAGATCCCAATACTTAGTTCTCTGGGCTGAGAGAAAGCAAGGCTTTTGACACTTAGTTCTCTGGGCTTTGAGAGCAAGTAAATCCCAGACTCAGGCCACTTCAGCTTGTCCTTCCATGTGGGGGTCCTGTCTCTTAATTCATAACAGCTTGCATCAAGAACATGCATTTATGCTTTCTAGAATGTCCCATTTCGTTGCCAGGTACCTTTGCCACTCACCCCCGGGTGTTAGGAATACAGCAGCTGAAGCCTGAGTCAATTAATTATGACCAAGTAATTAATTTCCAGGAGTAGATATATTTCAGAGTCAATCAACTCTCAAATATTAGGAGCCTAGCATTAATGTTCTTTCTGTGTTTAACCAAAGAACATTGCTCTATCGTAAAATATAAAAAGGCTATAGGGAAAATAGAAAAACAACTACAAATACACAACACTTCACAGCACTTCAAATAAAAAGCAGTACAAATACAAAGTTCAGAATACCAGAAAGTTTTTGCTTATAAGTAATCAAGACCAACTTGTGACAATGAGAGGTAAAATACAAAGAAAAGGTTAAAGATAGGAATATTAGCAAGAGCATGATAAGCTTCTCTGGGTGGATAGGGGGCAGTTCGCTGATGAAGCCACTTAGGGTTAATATCCAACAGTAGACCATTGAGACACTAATTCATCAGTAGTTCAGAATGTCTGCTTTCAGAGAATCTTCAGTGACTTGAAAAACTTTGTAACTGAAGACCCACATGGAAATTGAGATAATAAGATTCATTTAAGAAATGCATCCAGAGAACATAGGAAGGAAAACATTGAAATGCCAGTGGTGGTTAGTGTGGGATTAGAGAGAGAGTTTTTTCCTTTACATTTTTTTGTTTTGAAAGGTGTGCAGTGAACCTATTTTCCTTGCATAGTTTAGGGGATAGTCCTTTTTTATTTTTATAAATCTTTTTCATTTAGGCATTTTTACTTTGCTGCTGCTGTTACTGCTCTGTGTGTGTGTGTGTGTGTGTGTGTGTGTGTGTGTGTGTGTGTGTTTAAATTCCTCTCCTCATCCCCATTCTCTCCTCATTGTTGATAGTTTGATAATGTGATGTTGTGGTCTTTGGTTGTCTTAATTATGTTGCTTGCTGGGGGTCACCTGGCTGCAGTGCTGGCATATTGGACTGTCACCAACATTCGCATTATGCAGTTATGAATTTTTGCATTATTCAGTTGCAGTGTTTTTACATACATGTCCATAGGTTGTCATACATATATTTAAATTTAATTTTATTTTTATAAAATTGTTCACAATAGTTCATTACAAATAATATTCAAACACCCAGTCCTACCACTGTGCACCTTCCCACCACCATAATAGGAAAGTGTGTGAAGATTGTTGTATTTCATCCTGGAGCCACTTAAACCCTTGTATAAGAGATTACACACATATATGTTAAATCCAAACAAATGTGTGCTGCTTTTGGTATATCAGTGGACTAGAGTATAAGAGGTCACGCACGTTCTGTGTCACTCTCTTCTGGGAGCTTTATTTCACAGTCTCTGGATCTTGGCCTTAGATTATATGGCGCTAGGAACAGTGTGTGGGTGTGATCGCTAAACTACTGGAAAACTGGGGAGGTGGGGGGAGGAGGCCCAATACCATTCCAAGCGAGCTTGGAGATCTCAGTCACGGGTCCCCCGTACCTAGGTTTTTCTGCATGTTCCCCTGTAGGTAAGGTTTGTCCAAGCTGGTGGAGAGCAGCCTTGAGCATGACTGTGTGGTTGGGTTCTGGAGATTTTTGGCTGCCAGGGTTCTGTTTGGGCAGGGAGGGAAACTCAGCCCACTCCTCTCCTAGTTGCCCAGGTGAAGGGGTGTCATATTTTTAGCTGAGGCATGCAGGTTGTAATTTTATTGTGCATCAGGCTGTGCCACTTGCAGATCTGTTCCCATACCCCTAGGTGGTGGCACTCTCCTTGGTGGTGCTTACCCATCCGTTTTGTGGTGCTGACCAGAAACTACTCTCTGTGCTGGGAATCACAGTCAGTAGAGCTGACAAGCTCAAAGAGCAAAGCTGCCATGATTACGTTTGATATATAGGGGACACCAGGGACTTTAATTTGTGCAATACAAACAGCTGGGTGAGCTAGCTGTAACCTATAATTGTGATAAGACTATGTTCTAAACCGTTCTTAAACTGTGGGTCCCTACTCTGCATGTATGACAAAATTGGGGTGTGTGTGAAAAATTTGGCACTAGCAAAAGTTTCTGAATGTGCAGTGACCAAAAATTATTTAGTATCAACTGCAGTTATCATGATTTCGAAGTGTTTCTTCTGATAACACTTGACTGTGTGACATTTCTCATTTGCAAAGGGGCTAGAGGTGGAAAGTTGAAGAATCCCTGCCTTAAACCATTGCAAACAGGGTCCAACTTCCTATTTAAAGCCGAAGAACTTGGGACTATCAACCATATGCAGCATTATAAGCAGCATGATTTTATGGCAGGGGAAATCTGTTGCCTTTATTTGATAAAACTGATATACTTTCTTAGTATCATTTTTACCATCATTTTTATAGTATTTATTCCATTCATGTATATGTTATATACCTACCATAAATTATCCTTTTTAATATTGTATGAGGTGTTAAGAGTTGTTGGAATAGGCATCAGTACCATTGTAAACTGTGATACATCAAATTAAAAAAAAAATATTTAAACAGGACTTTGAAAGTTCTTTGATTGTAATTGCCTCGAGAAATAGTTTAGTGTATTGCTCTTTCTCATGAAGTAGTGCTTGTTAGGACCAAAGACCACCCCTCAATATTCAAAGAGACAAAGAGTCTAGCTGGAATGCAAACTGCACATCGAGATTTTATTATACCAGCTAGCTGGGGCCGAGACATCACATCCTGATTCAGGTTGGAGCTCGACCCAAGTGTTTACAGCCAAGGGTTTTTATAGCCATCCTGGGTGCACAGGCCTCAGGAGCAGGCACAAAGAAAAACAATTCCAAAGGCAGAAATACTTCAAACATTTCATAACTGAACAAAAACATACAAGAACAATATATCAAGAAAACATTCCCAATTAGGAAGACATTCCCAGTTTCCATACATCAAGAAAGCAAAACATTCCCATTCAAGAAAGCATATTCTCAGCTAGACACAGGATACGAGATACGGTTGTATTGACTCCTGACTCTCCAGCTCCAAGCTGCGTCCCACCAACTGGTACTGTCAACCAATTAGCTCAGTTAGGTCATATATCCTTCCTGGCCTGAGCTGTCTCCTACCTTCTTTATGACCAGAGTGAGAAGAGGTGAGCTAGCTGCTTCTCACATCCCCCCTTTTCTATGATCATACTGAGGAATCTTCTGCTTCTCACAGTGCTGTCTTGCAAAATCAATGTACATATAATATATCAGTGCAGAATAAGTATTTACATTTATCTTCTAGCAGATACAATTGATTAATGTTGCTAACAGCCCACATGGTTTTGCTTTCTTTATGATGCAGTCTATCCCTTGGATGGAGTCCTCACTGTCAGGTTAAGAGTAATGAATTGAGCTAATACTCTTCCAGCTCTAGTTCCCTAAATTGCATTACAGCTGCTGTGGGCAAAGCATGCTGATGGGTCTGGACTTGTGTATGGTTTGTGTTTTCTTCTCTATAACTAATCTGCCCACTCTGCCCCAAATGGGAGTTCCTAAAGTCTAGTGGCAATCAGGAAGATAGGCTCTATCGAACCCTCTTTGACTGAATGGATTTTTCATTGTTTTGTTGTTTTTTTTTTAAATGCCTACGCTTCAGAGGCTATCAACTGCTTAAATGCAGCCATCGACATTTACACAGACATGGTAAGATACTGCTTTGTGTAAGTGGCTGTGGGGTGGAGTTTTTGAGATGATTAGAGTTGTATTCTTTTGTTGTTGTTACCAATGTATTGGTATTCAAATAGGTCAAACCTGAATCTGACTTCTTGTTTGTTTTCTCCCCAGGGACGGTTTACAATTGCAGCCAAGCACCACATTACCATTGCTGAGATCTATGAGACTGAGCTTGTGGACATTGAGAAGGTAAGCAGTCGACTTGATTTGTTTATAAACTTGGTGTACAACACAGGTAGTACATTGACCTGAGGTGCTTTCCCAGCAAGGATGAGTGATGCAGCATTATTAGGATAGCTGTGTGTGGAAGCTTTGGTATCTTTCGGCTGAGAATTATACTGACTGTTTTTCTTGAGTGAGTGTTTGAGATATAAAAACTGGTTAAGACTTACCAATACAAAGCCCCACCTGTTTAATTTCTGTTTTCTCTGTTTCATGTCAGAACATTAGTATTACCATAAAAATTTGATCTCATTCTCCGAGAATTCTGTGCATTTTGTGCTTTAGTACTGCAGGCAGCTACGTATTTTTATATTCAGTTTTAATTGTAGGGGAAAACTTAACATTTATACTGTATGTGTTCTGCAATACCATTAAGTCTAAATAAATACATATAAGTGCATACTATATTTTTTAAGTATTTTATTGCTAAAATACTAAGCCCATCTGAACAAGCTCATAGGTAATAGACATGTGTGATGTAGATTTCTCGCAAATTTTAAATTTATAAGACATTTCATTGTCAGAGTAAAACACTGAGGTGGTGGGCTTATAGTGACAAGGGAAGAGAAGATGGAAGAAACACTTATTGAACCCAGGACAGCTGTGTGCAAGACAAGCATCCTTCCTGCCAAACTATCTCTGTAATCCCCAATCTTCAATTTTGCTGTTTCAACCTTCAACCTTGAGATTTATCATAACCACCTAATAAAAAATTGGAGCTTCAGCTCCACATAAATACATAATCAGACACCTCTTCCTCCCATGGCAGATTTTCCCCCTTTTGTGTTGCATTGCTTTCCTTGCGTCATGGCTGCATTATGCTTGCTCACCATCCCTCGTGACTCACAGGTCTGTCTACAGTCCAGACTCAGCTTGAGGTACCCTTATCCTTCTGTCTGCTTACAATAGTTTCTTCAACCCTAGCATGATTTTGCCTCCTCAAGGCCCCTCCAAACTCTCCGTCCCCTAGAGTGGCTCCTCAGAGCTCAGTGGAGAGCTACACCTTTGGTTTATTGGATGTATCCCAAGAACCTAGGTCTCTGGGACAGTGGGTTCTGCTAAACAGAAGATGCTCCTATCTCGGTCATAGCTCTGCACTTCTCAGAACAAATGAAGTATTTATTGCTTCAGGGAGGAATCTCTTGGTATATAGTTAGATTGACATATTAACCTTTGCCCACTGACTTCATGATGCCCAGCATCTTGTTTGTTTTTACAGGGACCATGTGAGCTTGCTCCAAAGGGTCTGGGGCCCACTCCTGGTGATACTAAGCCCTGAGTTAGATGCCTGATGATTTTGTGTTTGGGGCCCCTGGTGGTGCTGCAGAGTAACCTTAGGGCTTTGCACATTCTATGCTTATGCTTCACCACATGAACTGTTTCTCTGACAGCTGACACTACATTTTGGTTGTTTTTGCGACACGAAATTCCTCTAATTTTTGACTAAATTGGGGTTGTCAAGTACAGTGGCTTGTATTTGCAAGCCTTCTCTTAGAAGACATGGTTTGTGAATATTAGAGGAAGATAATGAGCAGAGAGCATCTTTATTTCCTGCAAAATGTTGGAACAGGATTGAAAGGGGTCTAGTGTAACTGCAATATTTATTTGTTCACACTGTTTTGGGGAGATGCGGTATCTTTATTTATTTGTATTTATTTATTTTTGGCTTTTTTGGGTCATACCCGGCAGTGTACAGGGTTTACTCCTGGCTCTGCACTCAGGAATTACTCCTGGTGGTGCTTGGGTGACCATATGGGACTCTGGGGATTGAAGCTGGGTCCGCCACGTGCAAGGCAAATGCCCTACCCGCTGTAATATCATTCTGGCCCCTGGTGTCTTTATTGCAGCACTTCAAATACTAATCAAATACAAAGTCCAGAAAGTTTTGGCTTATAAGTAATCAAGACTGTCTTGGGGAGCTGAGACAATGAGAGGTAAAACACAAAGGAAGGGTTAAAGATATACTTTAACTAAATTAGGGATGCCAGCAAGAAGAGCACAGTAAGCTTCTCTGGGAGGAGGAAAAGGTGCAGTTTATTGATGAATCCTAAAACACATCCAACAGTTCACAGTTAAAACATTTTAATGAGCCAATATCATTGTTTAATAAGTTTTAAAGTTTGTTTTCAGTTAAGACACAACTCAAAGTTTAAATAATTGGGGTGGGAGTTGGGAAAGACATGACACTTGTACTTCAGAGAACCATTTTTTATAGTCCAGGAGTCTGTATTTTTAAATAAACACCTCTCATACCATGAATTTATAGGGAAAGGGCTACCACAGCTCAGTCTCCTTTCCACTGGTTCTTACCTGGGAGCAGGCTGGCGCTTCAGTTGAATGCAAGTCCCTTTCTCTTTGGCTTTCTTCTTTTTCTTTTTTCTTTTCTTTTTTTTAATGTAGTAGTACTACTGTTTATTCAGCCATTGATTAAGCTGATTGAGCTGGGCATGAACTCCACATTCCTTTTTTTTTAATTTTTTAAATTGAATATCTGAGATAGATCTTTGCAAAGCTGTTCATAATTGGATTTCAATCATACAGTGGTCCAGCACCCATCTCTCCACTAGTGTACATTTCCCACCAACAATGTCCCTGTTTCCCCACCACTATCCCCCAACCCCCCACCCCCAGCCTTCCTCTGTGGGAGGCATTTCCTTCTTGCTCTCCTTTTCCTTTTGTGCATTATGGTTTGCAATACAGGTACTAAGAGATCATGGTGTTTGTTCAGGGCATTAGGTATTTTTATTGGGACGGTAAGACTGGAGTAGCTTTTCAGTTGGGTGGCGGCAGCTTTGGGGTGTGGATGTGACTGCTGAGGCTTCCGTAAGTACAGGGAGGTAGGGGGAGATAGCCCATCCTAACCCCAAGAAAGCCTGGAGATTTCAGTCCTAAAACCTGCATACCAAAATTTTCAGCAGATCATATATTGGTGAGGTCTGTCCTGAGACCGTGGAATCAGGCAGTGTAAGCAAGTGGCTGCTGGGGGCTCTGCTTGGGCAGGCACGGGTCAACCAGCCCCCCCACCGATTTACCCCAGTCTGTTCAGCCATGCGCGGGTCCAAGCTTAAATGCAGCTTTTGATCTCTTTTGAGACTTATTTATGGGTCTCTGAAGCAAGGCCAGTAGTAGAGCTTACAGGTTGGCGCTGGAATTGGTTCGTGGGAGTGACTGCCAGTGCTTCCAGGAGTATTGGGAAGTGGGGGGAGGTAGCGTACCCCAGCTCTGGGACAACCTGGCGATTTCAGTCATAAAACCTACATGCCAAAATTTTCAACAGATTATGTCTTGTGAGGTTTGTCCTGAGATGGAGGAGTCAGGCCCGGGGTATGGTGGCGATTTTGGATTTTGCTTCCTTTTTCTTCTTATCCTTATCTTCACCCTTTTCAGGAATCTGTCTCTACTATTAGAGTGCCTTATATGCTCAATATGGACATTAATTCTCTTGGCAAGAATCTTACCTCTGACTTGTTTGTTAACAGTGCCAACAGCATGATAGGTAACTTTGTTTTGCCATGGTAATATTTGTGGGGTATTCTTCTTTGGACAGTGTCCATTCCCTTTATAGTCTACAATATCACCTTTCTTGTATACATGAATGTATGTGGCCAAGGGAACAACTCCATGTTTTCTGAAAGGTCTAGAGAACATACAGCGGGTGCCCCTCTTTTTCCCTTTTGGTTGGTCATTTTTGCAATTTACTGGAAGCTGGTGGTTCTGGCCCAAATGGGGTTTTTTTGGGTTTTTTTTTTTTTCTGTTTTTTATGACCCCAGTGGTAGTTGGGTGCTGTTCCTTTGTATGGCTGGGGAGCTGTGTGGTGCTGGGGAATGAACCCAGGACTCCCACATGCGTGTGCCCAGCCCTTTAAGCTATCTGTCCAGTCATGGCTTTTTTGTTGTTGTTTTAACCTCCAAAGCAGTTGTTCCATATAGTTCATTATCATTTATTTGGCTTTTTGGGTCACACCTGGCATTTACTCAGGGCTTACTTCTGGCATTACACTCAGAAATTACTCCTGGCGGTACTCAGGGCACCATATGGATGCCAGGGGTCAGCCGTATGCAAGGCAAGTGCACTGTACTGTTGCTCTGGCTCCTATTCCAAATGCTTTAATCCTGCTCTGTTCTTTGATTTCTGATGTTTCAGGAACTCAAATAAATGCATCCCTTTCTGAAAAGAGTTTTTGTTATCTCATATTATAGGAAGAGTTGGTCATGTTTCTCATACCACTTACTGTAATGGGAAGGTAAAAAGGTAAAGGCCCTCCCGTTGATCGTCGATTTGCTCGAGCGGGCCCAGTAACATCTCCATTGGAGACTTTGTTGTTACTGTGTCTGGCATATCGAATACTCTCGGTAGCTTGCCGGGCTCTCCAAGAGGGGCGGAGGAATCGAACTCGGGTCGGCCATGTTGGCCGCTTGTAAGGCGAACGCCCTACCCGCTGTGCTATTGCTCCAGCCCACATCATGAGTAGCTTGTATTAACCATGACAACCTCTAGGTGTTGAGAATATGATGTCTTTACTTTCTTATTTGATGTAATGGGAGAGAATGCTAAATAATAAGGATAGTTCAGAAACTTTTCTTCATAGGCATTACAAATGAATGAAAACATTGGCAGCAATTCATAGGGCATCTTACTTGAAATGCAGTTTGTATTGGTTTACTAGTGTTTATCTTTTGAGCATATGATAGGCATTATACCTAGGCCCAGGGACGTAGTAATGAGCAAAGCTGTCAAGATACCTACTATCACAGAGGTTACAGTTTAATGGGGGAAGATGTGCATTGATCAGATACTTATAAGTATGTGACAGCTCTGACGAGTGCTCTACTGGAAATATATTAGATTTTTTTTGTAAGTGTTTTTATATTTGTAATAAAGGAACTGTAGGTATCCTTTTCTGTAACTTATTTAATGCTTCATGAAGAATATTTAATATTTATACGGCTAGAGCAATAGCACAGCGGGTAGGGCGTTTGCCTTGCACATGGCCAACACGGGTTCGATTCCTCTGTCCCTCTCGGAGAACCCGGCAAGCTACTGAGAATATCCTGCCCTCATGGCAGAGCCTGGCAAGCTCCCCGTGGCATATTCAATATGCCAAATACAGTAACAAGTCTCACAATGGAGACGTTACTGGTGCCCACTCAAGCAAATCGATGAACAACGGGAAGACAGTGCTACCATCATTACTTTAAATTTTTATCTATTTTTAAGCCCCCCCCCCCCCCCCGCCCCAGTTGTGCTCAGGAGCTATTCCCAGCACTTTTCTGGAAATGCAGGGGAGATCATGCAGTGCCTGGGATAGAATGCACATGCTGTAAGCTTTTTTTTTTTTTTTTTTTTTTTTGCTGTCTCTGTCCTTTCACTTTCTATAATTTCAATATACCTATATTTATATGATGTTAAACACTTAGATTGTTTCAGTTTTTCTTCTACTATACTCAAAAAATATGAAGAGCATATTAGGATAGATTAAATACTGGAGATTAAATACTGGAAATGACATAAAGTTAGGATAGATTAAATGCCTGGAACAAACAGACATGCTATTTAAACTGGAATGTCTTTTTCAGAAGACTTGATGCTCTTCAACCTGGATGTGGTTAAGGTTGACTTTGCCCATCAGCCTGTGGCTTCAGAGGAGGCTTGAGGGCAGTATTTGTTTCCTTACAGTTAACTCCCTTTGCCAGTGACTATAACCAAAGTGGTACTCTAACATAATCTCCTAGCCTGCTTATTTATGTATTTATTTATTTACTTTGGAGTAACGCCTGGTGGTGCTAAGGCCTTACACCTGGTAGTGCTTTGCCTTTTATAACCTATTAAGGCTACCTTAAAACCAATCTCTGAGCTTTGTTTCTTCTTATCTTTTTCTACCAACTGCCTGATTATTGACTGACAAATGTATGCTTCAGTGACATATGTTCTTCTTCAGTGTTGTCATGTGCTTGATTTCACTAAATCTTAGGCCAAAGTATGGCAGAGGCTTCTAGTTTTCAATCTTGCAACCTCTATTCCTCCTCCTTGACTATTCAGCACCATATTCTATAGATTTAAGACAACACTGTTATTCAAGATGATAACTTACTGCCTTGAAAAATCTGTGTAGGTCTAAAAAAATTTCACGTGTATGAAATAACAATCCTAAAATTCACCAACAAATAAGAAGTGTAGTTTTTCTGGAAATTGTGGCATATAGGGTTTGGGTTACATTTTGCTTTTTTGTTTTGTTTTTTAACCACACCCAGGGGTGATCAGGGCTTACTCCTGGCTCTGTGTTCAGGGATCACTTCTAGTGATCTCAGCAGATCATATGAGTTGCCAGTGATTGAAGTTGGGTTAGCTATGTACAAGGCAAATACCTCACCTGTTGTACTATCACTCCAGCCCTGCATTTTACTTTTTTGCAGTTATTTAGAAACCAGAATGGCAGAAATTCTGCCTTTGTTTTTTCGGGGGGTTTTTTTGTTTGTTTTTTTTGGGGGGGGCTTTGTCTACACTCAGTAGTGCTGAGGGTTTATCCTTATTTCTATGCTTAGGGATTATACGGATGGTGTTGCTCAGGGGACCATCTGTGGTACCACGAACTGAACCAGAGTCTGCCTTGTGCAAGAATAGTACCTTAATCCAGGTACTGTTCTCTATGGCTCAGTTCTGCCTTCTTTGATTTGTGACTTCCATTATTGCTCTAGAATTGGCCATAGTCATTGTAGCTCAGGACAAGATTCAGAAAGGGTACAGACTCAGGTAAGTAAGCTTGCTTGGAATAACTCACAACATATTTTACCCCTTGGTTAAGGAGATCTCACATTGTTCCCCCTTAACTGCACTGGAGGCATGGGAGTGGTGTAGTTAGACACGTGTCAGGAAGAATGGCAAGAAAGATTTTGATAGATTGCCAGCATTATGCCTCCAGGGGTGAATGCATGTTTGTATTCTTTGCAAGTAAAATATGCAAGGTTTTTGAAAGGTTGCTGTGGGTAAAGAGGTATTTATAGAAATGAGATCTGTGCAAATATAGTTTTAAAATATAGCCTTAAGCAAAACGTTTGAATTAATAATGTGTGTTTTCAGGCCATCGCCCATTATGAACAATCAGCTGATTATTATAAAGGAGAAGAATCCAACAGGCAAGTATGGTTTTTCTTAATATAGTGAAGTGGTTTGTTGTATGTGATAAAAAGACAAGCCATCTCTATACTTAGAGCATATTGAATCATTTGAATTGCATGTTTTCATTTTCCCCATGGAATCCTATTTACTGTCTTCTGGTTCTTAATTTCAGTTCAGCTAACAAATGTCTGCTGAAGGTGGCTGCGTATGCTGCTCAGCTTGAACAGTACCAGAAAGCCATCGAGATCTATGAGCAGGTGAGGCTGTGACAACTGTTGCTTCTGCTTGGGATTGAAGACCTGCTGAATTTTCAGAATTTTTATATTTAACTAAGATATAATTTCACACATTAAATCCTTACATTTTTATAAGTACAAGCCAGTGGTATTTGATAGAGTCAAAAAATTATATAAAGCATCACACAATTTTTTTAAAAAATTTTTTATTAGTGGATCACCGTGAGGTAGTTACACAGTTAGAAACTTTCATGCTTGCATTCCAGGCACACAGTGATCAAATACCATCCCTCCACCAGTGCCCATTCTCCACCACCAATGATCCCAGTATATCTCCCCCCCCACACACACACACACACATCCCCGCGCCCCATCCCTCCACTGTGGTGAGGCATTCCCTTTTGTGGTCTCTCTCCTTTTGGGTGTTGTGGTCTGCAATGCAAGTATTGAATGGCCATCATGTTCGGTCCATAGTCTACTTTCAGCACACATCTCCCATCCTTAGCGGGCCCTCTAAACACCCTTTACTTGGTGGTCCTTTCTCTATCTGAGCGGTCTTTTCCCCCCAGCATATGAGGCAGGCTTCCAAGCCGTGGAGCAACCTCCTGGTACTTGTCTCTACTGTCCTTGGGTGTTAGTCTCCCATACTGTTACTTTATATTCCACAAATGAGACATCACACTATTTTCATTATCCTCTCTCCTCCCAAAAAAATATTTCCCTTTTCTCTCAATGCTGAAAACCACTATTTTTATCTTTCTCAATGAATTTACTTTTTCTAGACCTTTGGTATATATGAAATTATAGATTATGCCTTTTGTGATTGACTTTTTTTACTTCATAGAATTATTTTTTCAAGTCAACGAGTTTTGTTTTATTTTGTCCTGGCCACAACCAACTGTGTTTAGGGCATAATCCTGACTCTGTGCTCAAGGATCACTACTAGCATCGCTTAAGAGACTATGATACTGGGGACAGAACCCAGGTTGGCCATGTGCAAGGCAAGCCCACTACTCACTGTACTGTCTCTCTTGTCCCAGGTCATTGGCTTTTTTGTTTGGGGTTTTATTTTCCAGTTTTAACCGCAGTATTTATATTTTTATTTATGCTTATTAAAACACTGGTAATTAAGTTATTCCTAATACAGCTGTTTCAGGCGTACAGTGTTCCAACACCAATCCCATCAAAGTGACCTTCCCTCTATGATTGTCTCTAATTTCCCTTCCTCTAGCCCCAGACTGCCCCCTTAGCAAGTATGTAACATATTTATTTCACAATGCTTGCTCCAAAAAATATTAATGGGATGGCAAATACATTTGTCAGAAAATAAATCAATAAAAGTCAATTTGTGATGCTATATGATTTTAACCTATGTAAATAAAGAAATTGAAATCATTTTCTACAGTATAATTAATGCCTACTCTCATTTACATAGGTAAGTTTTCAACTCTGGTATCTAGGATATATTTCATTAGCTTTCTTTTTGGGTATCTTATGGTAATAATTCTGTCTTCCCTGCATTAACTAAAACTATTAGAAAATGTCACCATGTTCTGGGTACCATATAGGATACTGGGAATTGAACCCAGATTGAGTGTACTCAAGGCAAGCACATTGCCTACAGTATTATCTCCTGCCCCTTTGATATTATGTTTTACAGTTCACTTGAAATAGGTGAGACCTGCAACTGTAAAATTTAGTAAAAGTGAAGAGAACTAAGAAAATTTAAAGGGGAAAATCTAAATAGGCTTATAAAAGTGTTCTAGAAAGTATATATTGAAAAGACTGATAAGACAGAATATTCAGTATAAATAAGATGTTAAGTCAGTATTGCAAATATATAAAATCTGTTAGCAAGTTAGAAGTATACCTTCCTTACTCTAGTTGATGGCAACCATATGTACCATGAGTGAGTGCCATACTCAGTGCCACATGCTGAGAAGTTTGTCCTGTCCCTTAAAGATGCTCCTTTAATGCTTCTTGTAAAATAGGTTTCAAGTCTGTGAATTCCCTAAGCTGTTATCTGTCCCTGAAGCTGTGTATTGTTCCTTCAAATCTGAATGATAATTAGCAGAATAGAGTATTCTTGGTGATATGTTTATTTCGTTGAGTTTTTATGCTACATCCCTCTGTTCCTTCTTCTGTTCCTTCGTCTCATTTGATAGATCTACTGTGAATCTTAGGGAATCTTCTTTGTAAGTTCTTTATCAATCTTAGTGCTTTCAATATTTTGTCTCTGTCTTTGGAATTTTTTATTTTGAGTACAATGTGACTTTGAGTTTTCCTAGTTGAGTCTCTTTTTGATGGGACCCTTCTAGTCTGTTACATCTCAGTGTGTATAATTCTCAAGTCTAGGAAATTCCTGTATGATTTCTTTAAATATTGTTTCATCAAATTTGTCTTCCTGGTTTTGTTTGTTTGTTTGTTTGTTTTCAGGACCTCCCAATGATTTTTACATTGTTTCTCTTAAACTTATCCCATAGTTCTGTGGTATGTTCTACATTTCTTTTCAGACTATTTTCCACCTTCTTTTGTTTTCTAGCAGTTTCCTCCATCTCATCTTTAAGCTCCTTGATCTTTTGTTTAGTTTTCATTTTATTTTAATCTGCTGTTTAGAGCTTTAAGTGAGTTTTTAAAAATACCATCTGCCGGGGCTGGAGTAATAGTACAGCAGGTAGAGTGTTTTCCTTGCACACAGCTGACCTGGGTTCGATTCCCAGCATCCCATATGGTCCCCTTGGCACCACCAGAAGTAATTCCTGAGTGCAAAGCCAGGAATAACACCTGAGCATCGCCAGGTGTGACTCAAAAAGCAAAAAAAAAAAAAAAAAAATCATGTACTATTCTCTTTTTATAGGTTTCTCATTTCAGCACTCACTCTTCTGCCCCTAACTGGCTCTGCTGACTACCTGTGCTTTTTTTTTTTAACCTCATTAAATACCTTCATAGTGGTGTCACTAAAGTCATTATCGGAGGATTTACTGAGGGATTGGTGTTGTTTGAGACTTTGTCTTCTTCTCACTTGAACTTGATGGGCTTCTGCTTGTCTTTCCCATCAGATTCCCTGTGCTCCTTCTTCCTGTGCTGTGAGTAGTGTGGAATTTGGAGGAGCTGTCGCACAGCCACATAAAGGCCACACGCTTCTAGGGCTTGCACAGCTGGGCCTCTTGCTGTGGCAGAGTTCAGGTGTGGAAGTGCTAGATCTCGCTGTAAAGGTGGGGAACCTTGGCCACTTTGGTTCCAAAAAAGGCCTCTTAATTTTCAGGGGTGCAGATGAGACTGGAATGGGGTGGCAACATGCAGGTTTCAGGAGCTTGTGCAGCTGTGTTGCTTGCCATGGTGGAGTTTGGGTCAAGTCATTAGTTTCTCACCACTGACTCACAGGTGTAAAAAAGGTTGAAAACTTCTGGTATAGGTTGTAGCATGTATTAATATTTCATTACTTATATAGCTGAACAGTGCTCCACAGTTTATTCATTTATTAATTCATGGATTTTTGGTTTTCACGTTGGGACTCACTAATAGTGTTACTGTGAACGTTTATGTTTTTGTGGATACATATATATATCCAAGAAAATATATATGCCATTATATATAACAGCAGTAGGGCATTTGCCTTGCACGCAGCCAACGTGGCCGACCCGAGTTTGATTCCTCCGCCCCTCTCGGAGAGCCTACCGAGAGTATCTCACCCGCACGGCAGAGCCTGGCAAGCTCCCCGTGACGTATTCGATATGCCAGACACAGTAACAACAAAGTCTCCAATGGAGACGTTACTGGGCCCGCTCGAGCAAATCGATGATCAATGGGAGGGCCTTTACCTTTTACCTTTTATATATGTAAAACTATTTCAACATATTTACATATAATATGTGCCATTGTATACGTAATGCTTTTATATTTATATATATGTATGTATTCCATTTTTTTGGTGATAGACCTCTATTTGGGATTGCTGTGCCATGTGATAAACCCATCTTTAACTCTTGAAGGAACTGTCAGTATTTTTTTTTTTTTTTTGCTTTTTGGGTCACACCTGGCGATGCACAGGGGTTACTCCTGGCTCTGCACTCAGGAGTTACTCCTGGCGGTGTTCAGGGGACCATATAGGATGCTGGGAATCGAACCCGGATTGGCCGCGTGGAAGGCAAACGCCCTACCCGCTGTGCTCTCTCTCCAGCCCAGGAACTGTCAGTATTTTAAACAGTGGATACACAATTTTAAATCTCACCAGCAATTTATCCACATTATTCCAACATTTTTTTTCTTTTTGATAACTATCTTACTAAGTATAAAGTAGTAATTTTGCTGAGTTTTTAATTTCTATTTTCCTTATAATTAGGGATGCTGAGAATCTTTCCATACACTTACTGTTCATATGTATTTATTTGTTGGAAAAATGTTGTTTCCTTGACTAGTTTTGAATTGAGTTTGAGTTTTGGTATTTTAGAATTTTTATATATTCTGCAATTTAATCCTCATTAAATACACAATTTGCAAATATTTTCTCCCATCCTGTGTGTTGTCTGTTACTCTTGTTAATTAGTGTCCTTTGATGCATAAGCTTTTAAATTTGGATTTTCAGATTTATCTTTTGTTTCTTTTCACATTCATTTTTCATGGCACATCTAAAAAATCATTGCCAAGCCCCAAAACATAAAGTTTTTCTTTTTTCTTTTGTAATGAGTTTTGGTGTTTGAACCATTTGGAGTTCATTTTTATATACATAGTAAATATCCACCTTCATCTTTTTTTAATATGGATATTCAATTTTACTAATACTGTTTGTTGAAAAGACTTCTTAAGGATCTTTGTGGCCTTGTTGTATGTATTGATATGTCAGGTTTACGTTTGGGTCATTTATTCAGTTCTCCTTTGTGTTTGTCTTAATGCCGGTATCATAAGATCATATTTTTTATTACTACAGCTTTAAATTTTGAAGTTTGGAATTGTGATTTCAAGATTGTTTTGGCTGTTCATGGTTCTCCACATTGCTTAATTTAGTATCAGCACACTAAGAA